GGGAGGAAGCAGAAGAGAAGTTATTCTAATACATTTTTATTCAAATAATCATTGCACAGAGATGCCTCTTAAAATAGAGAAGTATGATTTTGGTACCATCTTTACAGGAAGAATGGTCCAAGAGTAGAGCTATTGTGGGGAGTGTGTCCCGCAGGTAGATTCTTCTTTACTCCTTGCAGGTACTTAGGAATTTAGGCCACTTGGACCCCAAAAGTGGTTCCTCGCCCTCCTGTCTCCACTCCACTCTCAAGGTGGAGGTTGCCCCCCACCCCCTCACCTGAGACATACCCACCAGCTAGTGGCTTAATGTTGCCAAAAAGTAAGGCTCCAACTTGATGCAAGATGATTTTTTTGCTTCTTTGTCTCAGAGACTGAGCATTTGTGATGACTAATTGGTGATATGCAAGTCACAGTACTCGTGTGGCGGGACCCAGCGCCAGCATCCACCGGCTTGGGTTGGGGTTTCTGGTTAGTCTGAGTGAACCTTTGACATGTGTTTGCAAAACTCACCCTTTCCTGTTCCCAGCCTTGGCCTTGTCTGTAGTTCCTTTCTCTCTCTCGTCGAGTGTCTTCCCATGGCACATGGCTGTCTTTCTGTCTTCCCTTTTTGCAATGCCCGTACTGTCTAGGAAACTCCCTGAAACCTTCCTCAAGCTCTTGCATTTCTCGTGATCTCTCACAGCCCTCAGCTGTGTGTGTGAACCCCAGCAGTTCCGGTTACAGCACTTGGACACTTCTACCCACACCCATGGTGGTAGGGACACCCCTCAGCTTCATGATACCGTATCAGGAAGGACAGAGTCTTCAGCTATAGGTGGCTGTATTTTGAGTGATTGAATATTTAAAATGGATAATCAATGGTTCAAGGCAGAAGGGATACTAACGGGCAGGTTGCCTTTTTGGTCCTATTTCTTCATGTTCTTTAGTGTTCTTTGGCAAATACGGTATAATTGTTGTACATATGTATACACATATGCTGACATGTACAGTGGGCAAGGATGGAAACTAAAGGTAGAATATTCTCCCTTCAAAATGAGCTGACCTGGTTCCCAAAGTTGTTTCCTCATCAACTTCATAAAAGGTGAACTCCCCACCCAAAAGAGTATGAAGAATGTCCCCAGCTCCTGCAGGTGGGGGGATTTTGGGGGGCTGACTTGGGGGAGGATCCATGCAGTCGGAGCAGGATGGTGGCTGCTATGTTACATTTGGAAGGAAATGGATCCGGTTCTGGAATGAATGTGAATTTTGGCATTCTGTTTCTCTTACCAAACTGAAGTGGAGGATTTCAGATATATCTTGCAAGAGACAGGCATGACCGTGTTGTTGAGGCTATTTGCGTGTAGATACTCAAGAAGAAGGTGTGAAAATTGTTTCCGTGGTATGTATTTTCTTGTTGATTTAAAGAAATTAATTGGCATTTTAAGAGGAGAGAGACTTGAGTTATTTTTCAGATACTTTGGGTGATAGAAATTTGGCTTAAAAGAGGAAAAAAAGAAAAGGAAGACCCAGGTCAACCAGGGTGATATCTCAGGTTGCTAATTGCACTTGCTGGACTCCAAATGCCTTTCCACCTGATTGCCCAGTGTGTCTGTAACCCTGGCTCACCATCTTCCTGCCCTGACTCTGTTCTCCTTGGCACTAGCGTCTGTGATGACCAGGAAGTTCAAGTCTCTAATACAGGATCTTGGAACTGAATTGAGCCTCAGAATGCAGCCCCCCTGGAGAGATTGTTTAGCCAAAGCCAGACTGAGCCTGAGCTACCATCCACAGCTTGCCTTGTCCCAGGGGGGTTTCTTGATTCATAAATGCATTGATCTTGGGCCCAATTCCAGATGAATTTTTTTGTCTCAAAGACTGACATGCTTTGCCCAATAAATGAATGAATGAATTTTATTACATATATACTACTACAGTATATATTTTCTGGGAGAGCCAGTGAGCTTCTTCTGAACAAGGATTTTATGTTTCTTTTACAAATGGAACACTTTATGGTACCACATAGTATGTTCCATCAACCTGCTTAATTGGGCTTGACAATTGGGTTTGGTTCTTAAACAGTTTTGTAACCCTCCTAATTAAAATCCAGTGTATGGTGATGGTGCCGTGTCTCTTAAAATTGATGGCTGTGACTCACAGAGTTGAGATGGCCTAATTAATTTTCAACCCTTAATGAATTCTAACTCTCTTCACCTTTGTTTCCCTCAGTAGAAAAGTCATTGCAGTGCAGACAGCAAGCATTTAATGTGCCATGAAAATGCATCTTCTCAATTTAAGAAAATTCCTTTATTGCCATGTAATTGGGCAGGTAAAATACTTCTGCCTTTTTTATTAAAGTGCTTGATGATTGAGATTTCTCTTAAGTACCAAATCTTACCAAGTACCCTGATTTGATAATTGATCTTTGATACATAAAGTACTTTTTATTTGTTTCTTTGTCATTATTTTATTTTTAAAGGCTAGATCTCCTGGTTTGGTATCATGTGAGATCTTTCATGCCATGCATAACAAAAGAAATCATCACTGTTAGGGCAAAGGCCAAGTTGTTGGCAAGAAATACTTGAGCAGTAAGCAGTAAATTGTTTACTAAGTGACTGATACATACATTCCTTTTAATTTTCCCCACAACTTCGTGAATTAGTATGTCACTTTTCAGATGAGGTAACTGAGGTTGAGAAACATTAAACAATTTTCCCTGTTTTTACAGCTGGTGTATGGACATGATTGGATTCAATTCCAGGTGTATCTGTCCCAAAGCCTTGTGTAACCACCAACTTGATTCCACCCCCATTAGCTTCCTTGTTAAGGATACAACTAGGAAACAAAAAAAAGGATGGAAGTATTTTCAGGTGATGACAGCAGGAACATTCAGAACTTGGATGAATCCAGAACTTTTTAATTCAGTGCATCTATTCATTTTTTAAACCCCAAAAGCTTCTTCATGTTAGAGACTTCAAATTTATTTTAAGAAAACCATGGCAGAATTATCCTGAAAAATTCCCAGAGTCAATTATACCTTTAGAGTCATACTTGCAGATGAATAGATTTATGGTGATATCGTTTTAAATACATTTTATTTTGTAGCTTAAGAAAACAAATGAGCTTTGTTAAAGTATTCTGTGTCCCACACTATATATGTTTTCATAATCTGGAAAGTTACCAATAATCCTTGTATTGAAAGCTTTTGTGGGAATAGTTGCCCCTTTGTAGATACAATAGTGTCCTTTTGAATGGACTTGAGTCACATTGGGGTTTTCAGGGAAGCCAGTCCAGGACAGCCTGCTGTGGACAGTTGGGGCAGAAAATGATCCATATGTGACCCACACTCCCGTCTGGGAGACCCTGATGCCGTCCTGTCACTGTACCCACTGGAAATGTCTTTTCATCATCTATAGGAACCATCTATTTCCTTTTGTGATTGTCTCTCCATTTAAATTGTGGACACATCCAGGATGGAGGTTTGTATCTCTGTGGTAGAGAATTTAGGGATGGATTGGAATATAGTGAGTTAGCTTGTTGAGGAACAGAGCAATCTCTTTTTACCTCCCTTCCTGAGAATACAGTCAGGCTCCACTTGGCTAAGCAATAGAAAAATTGTTGCTTTGTATGCATGTGCATGCACGTTCGTGCACACACACACACACACACACACACACACACACACACACGCCAGTTATTACCACTTAGGCTGCGAGCTTGTACATGGTCGGAATTACTGAATCTAGGCTATGTGTCAGTTGACTGGGGCAAGTTGAGAAGAGAGTAATCACAGCGGCATGTTAGTATTTTGGTTGTGCACAGTATTTTTCATATTAACTGTACCATGGGGAAGTGTCATCCAATGCATTTTGCAGTTCGTTATCAAATTAATCTTTTCCAAATGGCTGCATGTGACATTACACATACAAAAGCTAACTGCAGTGGTAAACGTTTCACTATTCATGTGCGTGGCAAGCTGGAAATATAACTGGCTGACATGAATGTCATGCACTACATTTCTGGTTCTAGAAAGGCAATGCCAGTGCAGTGAGTGGAGGCTTTAACAGAAACACAAGGATCTGCTCTTCCATTAGGTGGGTATGTCAGGGTTCTTCTGTTTGGCTTTGGTGAGAGTAATCCTTTTGAAATGGGGCAAATCCAGAATAGGAAATAGTGTGAGCAGAATCTATAAGTGGACTTTTTTTTTTTTAACCTAACTCCTGTGGTTAAGACTTTTAATGAAAGCCTGCCCAGAATACTGCATATCTCATCTGAAAACCACTTTTTCTTTTCCTCTTACTTTTAGATTATGAAACTAGTATAACCATATTATCAAAAGCAGGAAAATTGGAGGGTTAAGAGTCATCCAGCCATAATTTCCCCTTTCTTACCATAGAAGTGTAGTCCCTTGGTATCACTGGAGGATTGGTATCTCGGATGCTCAAGTCCCTTATATAAAATGGCACAGTATTTTGTATAGAACCTATGCACATCCTCCTGTGTACTTTGAGATCATCGCTAGATGTACTTATAATACCTAATATTAATACAATTACATGCTATGTAAATAGTTGTCATGCTGTATTTTTTATTTGTATTGTTTTGAATTGTTATTTTTTTTTTTTTACAAGAGTTCTCAGATTTTTATTTATTGGCTCTCATTTCCTCACCATCTCTCCCTTTTAAAAACTAAGCCTAAAACATACTCCTTATTTATCAGCCCTCCTTTCCTGCTCTTCCTTAAGAGGCTTTTCAGCACCCCCCACCCACTGACGCAAGGGAAGACATGGATTCATTTCTGTACAAAGAGGGGTCTGCAGGAGGGGGGTTGTGCACCTGGGGCTTGTTACCGGGGACCTGGTCTGACAATCACTCCCTCCAGAGGTCAGGCCTAGATTAAGCACATGGCCTTTGATACTAACCACCCTGAAAGGTTGTTGTGTGTTCTGCTCCTGGTTTTCTAATAATGAAAAATAGGGCTTATGCTTAGAATATGCACATATTTTGAAATAAGACCTCAAGTGTGACCTTGAGTAAGTTTATTAACCTCAGTTTTCTAATCTGTACACAAACATTCACACAGATGTAAAGAGCATAGCCCTATGCCAGGCTTGCAGCAGAGAACAGCTAACTCTCTCTAGCTCAATGGTTGTAGCAACAAGATATCAAAGATTATTTAGAAGTCAGACTTGAGACTCCTTATTGTGTTTTGAGATCACTGTTACTAATTTGGACTTGAGAAAATAAAATAAAAACCTTGAAGGCTCTCTCAGCTCAGGTTTCAGTGATGCCACTGGGTAAGAATTAGGGGACTCACAAGGTTACTGCCCCTAGAAGTGGGCACTGAAAAGAAAAAGGCAGCTGTTCTTTAGCCCAAGCAAAACCTCTGGTGTCAACTTCCCCTTTGGTGGGGGTTCCATTTGTCTGCCTAAGCTTGGAATCTCAAAGAGGAGAAACCACCTTTACTGGAGTAAGAGTCCAAAGCCTGGGTTTGGAGTTGATGGGGCAACTCTTCACTGTGCTTGCACCTTGGCTGAGGCAAGATCCAGGACCTCTCGGGGGCGTAGCCCACCAAACGTGGTCGGTTTGTTGGTGAAGGGCTGCCACTGACCCTGGATGCTAGGGCTGTCCGTGTGGAAGGGCTTTCGGATGCGGATCACCTCCAGGCCAGACTGGTCTGCCAACTTCTGCACTAGCGTCACGATCTCCTCGACCGACTTGCAGTGCATGCTCTCCTCGCGCACAGCCCCGTTAAGGTATTCGGCCACTACTCTGGGCACGCAGCAGGGCCGCAGGTTCACGTACATTACGACCCCGGGGTTCCGTCGGGCGAAGTCGGTCACCTCCCGTTCGATGAACTCCCTAGCACCGCGGGAAGAGGGCCCGTCGCGGCTGAGGCTGAAGCTGAGACGCTGCAGCTGCTGCACATAGCGACCCAGCCCATTGTGGAGGACACTGGTCAGGAAGCGGCTTGGAGTCCCGCGCCCGGTCATGGAAGCAGCTCTGAGGCGGCGAAGGCTAATCTGAATTGTTATTTTTAATTTTGTTGTTTTTAATATTGTTATTCTTCCCACTATTTTTGATCCATGGTTGATCGAATCCACTGATGAGGAAGCCATGGGTACGGAGGACTGACTGTGACATCCCGTGGGAGGCTCACAGGGACAAGTGAGGACGCTGGGGAAATGCCTCCCAGCTGACCTAGGTGTGTCAGGAGTAGCAGGGAGCACCTGTGGAGACTGCTGGGTAGAAGGAGAGAGGCTGGGCCCTTCCCTGCTCTCTCTGTCCGGCTCTGCGCCCCTGGCCGGAGCCTCTCTGTACTAACCTCTCTCCAGGGCAGCTCCTCTTGCTGGGCTGTGGCTCCCTTCTGGGCTCTGGGGACACGGACTCCAGCCCTCGGAGTGAAGGGCTGTTGTGCGTTTCTGGTGCCTCAATATCCCGGTTTTGCTCCTTTAACCTTGCAAGTTAAAGTGAGTTAAAGTCTTTTCATTTTCAAGTCTCTGGTGACTTCTGTTCCCTGCTAGGACCTTGGCTGGTACCAGTGATTCCTGAGGGAAGGAAAGGGACCATCCAGAAGAGCAGTGATGTGTGGCACGAGAAAGAAGGAGGTTGGGCTCCCATGAGGAGTTGAATTGGTTGATGCCATATGTATCTTTGTGTGTGTGTGTATATATATGTATACATGAGACATATATGTCATGTCTATCTAAAAGTGCTCATAAAATGGCAGCTGCCTTCTTTAAGTTCAGGAAGTATCTGCCGGGTGACTGTTTTGTGCTGGCCTAGTACTGGGGTGAAGCTACAGAGGGAATTCACAAATAGGAATAGGAGAGTTGTAGCTCCCGGGGGTGGGGGTGGGGCTTCCAGGCCAGAGGAACTGAACATGGCAAACAGTGCTTTGGATGAGATGTGCTAGATAAAGGCGTTAATGGGGTTAGAAAGAGTTTGCTTTGCAGCATATCCGCAGGGAATAAATATCCGTGTCTTTGTTTAATGATAGTTGCATTTAGGAGGTTCAAAAGGGTTGTCCCCACCTCCCGTCCTGAGATAGCCTTTATAGCAGGGGAAAGAAGGTAGCTTTGTGCATCAGAGGAAAGGCAGTGGGCTGTCTGCAAGGTGCCAAGTTTGCCCTTTCTTTTGGGGACTTGAAAATACTTGCAGATGCATTAGAGTTTGAGAAAGGTGTGATCCCTGCTGGCCCTAAAACCCTCAGCTTTGTAAGCAGAGAGGCTCAAGAGAAGCCAGGCCATTATCTGTCTCTCCTGCTGGTTCCTTTTGTGTGGGAGACCTTTCTCTCCTAAAAAGAAAATCCTGGTCTCTGGGAGGCATTCTGCCTGATTGCAAAGGGGTCCTGCTGGGCCATTTGTTCAAGGTTACAATTCTTATTGCCACTTAATGGGTGGCCCTTTTATGTTGGGGGAGCTTATTGTGCAAGCTAAAATTAGGCCCATCTGGGATTAAACCCTTATCACTGGGGATGCAGTTTTCCCCCAAACCAAAGGTGGCTACAGTAGGCCCTACTGGCATTTTTGTTTTCCTAATTTAGGGTGTCCTGAAAGATACAACAGTACCAGGCTCTTCTCATGACTAAAACCACTTTGTAGAATTTCACAGGCAGGTCACAGTCCACAGCCTAATTTTTAGCATCTTTCTCCCTAAGATCTCTAGGGCTTTTTAAAATCCTCATATTCTCTCTAGTTTTCCTCTGTGTCCCCTGGCCCCCCTGCCAGCCAGCTGACCGGTCAAATGCCTTTTCCTCAGAAGTTGTTCTTGGACACTGTGGCCTGAAACCTGTCCCTTGACCACATGGCACTGTACTTTCAAATTCTCTTCTTGCTGTGTCCATGGCTTCTTTGGTTTCTTTCACTGGCTCTTCCATCCTTGCCCAACTTCATAAGCGCAGGTGTTCTCCGAGGTCCTCCTTCACCCTTCTATGCTTGGAAAACTCCCCTTCCACATGACCTGGGTTCCCCTCTCTGTGGTTGGGTCCCAGGTCCACCAGGAGTCAGTGGCTCTTCTGGGGGTCAGTCCTGCTTGAGACCTGTCTTCCCCAAACATGCCTTGTTCTGGAATGCCACCTGTTGCCACTCACCTATTGAAATCTGCCTTCCTTAAAATCAAACTAGGTTCATCTGTGAAACCTTGGGTTCTTGTGTTCTCTCCCCACCAAACTGGATCCTTTGTGCTGCTATGGCTAAGTTCTGCCCTCCTAGGGGGCTGGGCAGTCACTCCATGTGGCGAGTGACCCATCCCCAAAGGGATGGCATGGAGCTAGGAAACGCTCAGGAACCCTGCATACATGTCTGTCTGCCCTACTAAATCGTGAGCTCATGGGCTGAGACTGTTCTAGGCACTTCTGTGCTGGCAGCGCTGTACACAGAGCAGGCCCTCAGGAATGAAGGCGGGTGAGAGTGTGACACTAGAGTGTGGCCTGACAGCCCGCGGGCAGTTCTCAGCCCTGTTCTCAGCTGCATCGTCATGGAAGGAATGGGGGGCTGTGGGGGAGGAGGACCTGACCCCGGCTCAGATGGATTTGTTTCTGGAACTGCTTAACCAGGTCCTATTTTGTGGATGAAAAATCAAGGCCAACCATCGTTATAAAGTTGTCTGCAGCTCTCAGCACCTGGGCTTTGCAATCACTTCCTCCTCGTGGTTCTGCCCCCCTCAAACTAGGCTAAAGAAAAATGGGGCAGGGCCAAGAAGGTGGCCACTGTCCCCTTCCTTCTCTCCATCTGGCCTCCCGTTGTGCATGCTCAGGACCACCACGGTGTCCCTCTTCCCCCCACTCCCCCACCTCCCCACCCCACATGTCTGGGCTGGCCTTGCTTGGCACATGGATGCTGCCTTTCCCTCTGCCATGTAGTCAAAACTCTGCTAGGCCGGGGGGCACCTCTGTGCACATTAGAAAATGCCCTCGTTTGCTGTGTGTGGATGCAGCCCCACGCCAGGGTGCTCAGCACGCTGAGTCCAATGGTCTGAGTTTCAGCACCTACTTGACCTCTTGGTGCGGAGCCCTTGGGCAGTGAACAGCCTGCACAGCAGTCTGAACCATCGGACTGAGCCAACGCAGTCTGTTCCCTACTAGGAGCTGGGAAACCCGCAAGCACAGTGGGTCCTGTTAATGGGCTTAACCCTCCCATTGATCTTCAGATAATTTCTTCATCTAGATGGTTGTTGTCTTGGTGCAAATTTGAAGACCATCCAAAGACCCTGACGAGGACTAAATAATTGTGGAGAAGGTGACATTTGAACCCATCTTCCTGGATTTTCAGTGTGCTCTGTGCCATTGCTCTGTTTTATGCGTAATGCTTGGCCATTTTTTTCCTACAAGCACACGGCTTGCAGACCTTACTCATTTTTATAGTATTCGGCCGCCCTGTCTCCTAGGTTATCAGAATCTGCTGCGACACTCTTGGGTAATATGGGTTTTATTTCTTACTCCTAATTGCTGTCTTGATTTACCAGCGTTTTCACATTTGTTTCTAAAATTTTACTCTAAACTGTTAAAAAGGTAATTAAAAATACAAACGCCTGGGTGGCAGCCAGCAGCCCTGGAACACAGGCCACATGATAGGTGATGGCTGTCTGGGCGAGCTCTGCAGTCCCTCCTGGAGACCCTGAGGGCCATTTGCTCCCGGGGCCTGGAAGTGGAGGCATTGCCGCATCTGGGCTCGAAAGCACCGTGGCCCGTTGGAGACAAAAGACATTTGAAGTTTGAAGTGTTGCAGAATGAAATGACACGAGCTTTAAAAGAGTGATGTAAACAAATTAAAACTCTGTCTAAAATTTATGGGAACTAGAATCCTCTGGTTAATTAAACTATGTTTTTAATTGTTTTCTCTTCTTTCTATATGTCATCATGCTTAACACGAAAACAGCACAGAAGGCTTCCCATCTATCCATATATACTATCTTTTTTTTTTTCTTTGAGACAGAGTCTCGCTTTGTTGCCCAGGCTAGAGTGAGTGCCATGGCATCAGCCTAGCTCACAGCAACCTCAAACTCCTGGGCTCAAGCAATCCTCCTGCCTCAGCCTCCCCTAGTAGCTGGGACTACAGGCATGTGCCACCATGCCCGGCTCATTTTTTCTATACATACTAGTTGGCCAATTAATTTCTTCCTATTTATAGTAGAGACGGGGTCTCGCTCTTGCTCAGGCTGGTTTCGAACTCCTCCTGACCTTGAGCAATCCTCCTGCCTCGGCCTCCCAGAGTGCTAGGATTACAGGCGTGAGCCACTGCACCCGGCCTATCCAATACTATCAAGAACTGTGCACTGGCCTTTATCTGTTTAGAGGAATGTTTCTTGGCCTCGGTGCTGTGGTTACTTTGGGCTGTAATTGTTGATGGCAGGGGTCTGTCCTGTGCCTTGTAGGGTGTCTGGCAGCACCCCTGCCCTCCGCCGTTTGTGCCGGTTGCAAGCCCCTCTCCTCCAGCCGTGACAACCAGAGTGTCTCAGACGTTGCCAAATACCCCCTGGGGCCACAGGTGCCCCCAGTTGAGAAACACTGATTTATACCTTTCTGATCCATTTAAATGTCACTTGTTAGACTGAGCCCCCTCTGTCCGTCAGCTTTTTTGATGTGACATATATTTCACATTAGATTATGGAAACATCCTCATTGTTTGGGTCTTTCTAGTTGCTGGGTTATGCACAATGAGATTCTGTTCTGGAGAGAAATGACTAGTCTTCTCTGTGTGTGCCTTTCTGGCTCTCTCTGTGTGGTGTGATAATGAAAATGTGCTGGGAAGACTGGATCTCTGTTTCCTTGGGCCATGTAAATAAGCCCCTAATTTTCTTTCAGCCTGAAAGAATCACAGGTTGCTCCGGAGCTAGACAGCGTGTGAAGTCCCTGGGCGTCCATCCTGGGGCATGGATGTCCCAGGCGTGTTGAATCTGCACACTGTGTTGTATTTCTGGATGACTGTGTAGATTTAAAAGGAGATGCATATAAATAGCGTCTAAATGTCATATGAAATCTCCTCCAGTGCAGCAATCGTTTTTATTAGTTCTCTAATTTGGGGAATATTGGCTCTTTGCAGGGCCGTGCAGGCTTCTTTGCAGAGGTCATGAAGAGGAATTCATTTCAGATTAAACACAGAAGGGTCTATAATAAGCTCATGGTCTTCAGAGCTCGGAGAGCCAGGACTGAAAGGACAGCAAGATGGGCAAGGAAGGGCCTGTGACTTGGGACAGGAGGATTCTGGCCCTAGCTTTTAGATGTGTTGGTGATGGGGCCTCCATCACGTTG